TTTTTCTCCCCCCCCCCCCCCCCCCCCCCAAAAAAAAAAAAAACCTTGTTTTTCTTTTTTCGTTTCTTTTTCCATTTCCCCATCTTTTTTCCAGTGAGTTTTTCTATTGTTTTTCTCCGCCGCTTTCTTTTTCACGAGCAAGAAAGAAGATGCTTTCAAAAAAGAAAAAAAAGAATCACTAGCAACGCATACAAAAAATGTGGGGAATATCAAACATACAACGTTTGCTTGTTACCACCAAATTGGACATGCGAACTACTTTATTAATCTTACGTTCAAAGTGCGCTTAATGCTCACGATGAAAATGTATAGACTACATATTGAACAAATCCTCATCAATTAAAAATTATCAAATTTGGTAATACATCAAATTGATGCTGGTGAGCTTGAGTGTGGAAAGTGAAGAACTGCGTGAGTTCTTGTGTGCAGTATAGTTTGTAGTAAAGGCATTTAGAATTCAGAAGAAGTCTTCTTTTTATGTTAAAATAGCACCTCTATTTATATCGATGGCATAAGAGTAGAACCGTCATTGTGGCCGAGCACAGGATGACGGTGAAGAAGCATGGCCTCGCAGATGAGTCAACTCCTGCTTTACAGGTATCAGCTGGCGACTGGAGGAGAGATCACTTCAGCATTAAACGAGAAGTGATCGGAAGCATGGCAGTGCCTACGTGGTCTGATGAGTCATGAAGGCTATCGGGGCTAGAGGCATAATGTGACTGCCATGCATTAACTGCGATGCTGACACGTTGTCAGCCGGGAGGCTCGAGACAGAAGTTGTCATTTAGCTTCGCCGAGAAGTAACGCCTTTCGAGTCGTCCTCGTGAGGCATCGAGTAAATGGCCGAGTGGGATCGTGGCAAGTTGTCTTCGACAAGGGGACCGACAAGTATCGCCTTTCGAGTCGACATGAAGGAATATCGACTCGACGAGTCAGCTAAGTCGGGATCCTTGTGTTTGCGTCGGAAATTGATTTCTTCATTGTCATTGAATCTGTTACAATCGTTTATCGATTACAAATTAAAAAAAAGAGAAAAGTCGATCTTTTTATAAGATTTTCTTACACAATAAAAAATAAACAAATACAATCTTCTTAAAAACACACGCAACGGACGTTTATCACCCGCTGCTTCGCGTGGGATCTTTGCCTGTAACGGGGACGCGTTAGTCCGTAGACCACCGCGGATTAGATCCGATTGAAAGTGATATATTAATGCTCTTGCTTCACAAAGAAAATAATCGCAGAAGTAATAATCTCAACCAAGTGAGATTATGACTCTTCTTGAGATCAAAACCAAGTTTGATCTGGGGGAAATGGGGAACGAGCCTCAGATCATTCGAATAGCTTCCTCTTTATGTTGAAGTTCGCCAAGATCTGCTAGCCCTCCTCTAAAATATGTGCTCCACTCTTCAATTTGACAGTACCTTGCCCTCTGATTTCAGATCCCTTTAAATGAAGGCCCTAGGCTTGTATTTATAGGCTTCGGTTGTAGTATTTTTAGATAAGAACTGATAATTTGACGTTACCTGTAGTTAACAACCGTGTAACTACGTTCACGGATAGTATCAAAGCAGTTGGGAGGTTTTGAAACGATCAAATCACGCGAAAACCCGTCGAAAACGCGTTTTCGGCTCAAAACTGTGCGAGCCACCAATTGGCGGCTCGGCCTTGGCCGA